GTCAGTTGTATTTATCTCCTGTTAATTTCCCTCTGAAAGTTCTCCATCATGCCTTAAATATTGAACTCATTTTTAAAAACCTGTCACTGGATATCTAACGCCTTTATCCACTGTGTCTTTGAGAACATCTGTGTATGAATTTCTGGGTATTATAAACCTAATGTCTTCAGCAACCATTTTTTACCAGTGCTGGTTTTGCTGATCATGATATGACCGTGCTTAATTGGTTAAACAATTCGCCTGAGCTGAACCCGATAGAGAATCTATAGGACATTGTCAAGGGGAGGATCAGAAACAACAATACATCCGAGCTAAAGGCCGCTATCAAAGTATCAAACATAGGCTTCCATATCCCCTCGGTAGTGTCACAGACTGATCACAACCATGTTAAGCCGAACAAAGTAATTCGAACACCAACAAAGTTCCTATGACCGGCTCGTTTCTAAGGCGACTAGCCACACCCTATTACAGACAACTGCTCAACCCTCAGAATCCACGTGTCGGTTATACTGCAACTAAGCTGAGCGGTCTTTAGTTACGGTATCTGGAAGAAAGCGTATAAGCGTGATCAATGTCTTTTTTTGTTTTTTTTTTTTAACTAGGCCAGCACATTCAAAGCATCGGTCACGATGACTTATGACTTCGTGCTAACACAACCATCATCGACGTCGAATTTTTTTAACGGTTCTGTCTAAGAAACTTTTCAACAAAAATATTTTTAACCCGTGGTATAGTTCTCAGACACTTTCCAAAAGGTGCCGCGCTCTGGGATCACACCTCCGATCAAATCAACAAATCGACCATGGTCAGAAAGCAAACATCCTAATAAATCAATTTTATTGATCTTATGAAGTATTCTGATATTCTGAGAGGAATTTTTTTTATTATTTTTATGAGATCGAGGTTATAATCGTCAAGATTAAAATTAAAATAGGTCTTCAATGATTTCAAATGCGTAAAACAATCTAGAAAAAATGAAAAAACAATTAATTGATTTACGGAAGAAATCCCCCCCGATATCCCTTTTTAGATGTACCTGTGTATATATAACGTATCACGACAAACCCAAATTTCCAAGTTCAAATCCATGAAATTTGTTTTTTTTTTTTTCCCCCTCAATTCTCTCTCTATCTCTCTCTCTCTCTCTATATATATATATATATATATATATATATATATATATATATATATATTTATTTATCTTTCTTTCTCTCTTTCTTTTTTTACATCTGCGTTCCTTCCACAGTGACTTCTCTTTCATTCTATGTAGGATTACCTCCATTGAAACCGTCGAAAGCGGATGTATTTCAAGGTCATTGGGACAGTGAATCGCCCTCCGCTCAACCGCCGGAAGTGTCTCCTCAGCATATTTGAATGCTTTCTTACGCACAAAATTTACGGAGGGAATGAACAGTAAATGTGAGGGTTGAATTAGCAGGATGGATGAATGTAATGGGTATTTTTTTTTTTTTTATTAGATTTTTTTTCCCTCACAAATAAATATTAATGCCACAGTGCATTTCGTTTTGAAATACTTGTAAGATCTTTTTGATGAATCCAGATTGTTCAATTTAAAATAGATGAATTGAAATAGATAACGAATGGGAAAACAACACTGAAGTCAGGAAGGTCAACACAATTTTGTTTTTAAGCAAATCTAGTTAGCATTTGGCAGATTAGGATGTTACAGTTACCCGCAAAGATTCTCTAAAAGACGAGCGTACATGATGAAAAAAATGTCAAAAACTTAATAAAAACAAAGTTTTATCGTCAACATCTTTATACTATTATTAAGAGGAAAGACCAAAGGATATTTTTTATTATTATTAAAATTATTATTTAAAACTTTGATAAAAAATCTTGTTTTCTGACGTCAGCGAGTGACAGTAAGTAATAAGTAAATTTTAGTATCTTTTTGCTGTGAAGAAGACATTGATTTGGAAATTCTTGCAAAAATCGATTAATTGTCGGATTTTCTGTCTATATCTCTGAAATGAGGTATTATGATCACTTGCATTATTTACATCCCGGAAGATGCGTGGCACGTGGAACTAGAACAATCTATCCCGGTGGAAGAAATTTATGGAAAATTCGTTTTGAAATTTAATCAAAAATTTTTGTCCAGAGCTAACAATGGCCGAAACGTTGTTTTATGGCAAATGAAGATAGGATAGCAGTCCCAATAATAATGTAAATAATAAATTTTAGTTTTTTTTAAATATTCCACCTAATTATTTTATTTTATGAAATTTCCGTGAAAATTTTTTTTTGGGTCCCTTATTTATTATATTATTCTAACTGGAATATGATATGAGAATTTAAATCAAAATTTATTTTTTATAAAACAGGCCATACTACAACATGTTTAACACGCAGACTCACTCTACACGTTTTCTGACCATAGCTCAATTAGATCTCATTAAAATATTCATGGAGATCTACCGGACACTATTCGTAACATACTTGTTGACAACACAAATATAATAGCATCATCTACATGCAAAAAAAACATAAAAAAAAATGGAAGCCTTATTAATAAAAAAAAAAAAAAAAAAAACACTTAATAATATTAACTATGAACATGGACACAATATCTTGACCGTGTTTTGAGAATGAAAAGATTATATAAAACATACATACAACAAACCTTTTCTTATTTAAGAGTTAAAATATTTCATCCTTGAAAATGAACAGCCGAAAGCGCTCGGATAAAAAGAACATTCGGACAGTTTTTATATAATGTATCATCCGAAAAGAAAAAATTATTAGATCGCATGAGAAATTGTATAAAAAATAAATAAAAGCACCTTTATCTGTCTTTTTTCAATGAAATGTGAGTGTATATATATATATATATATATATATATATATATATATATATATATATATATATATATATATATTTTTTTACCATGTTTTTCATGAAGACATGTTTTGTTGAATAGTTTAGACATGTTCTGTCTACTTATTTTCGATAAGATCCTTTATTATACGGGCGGATAAGTTTTTTGATGTCATTATTGAAGAACGAGAGGAAATTGCCGTGTTGATACATATTTTTTTTATTTCCAAGTACTTTCGACATATCAATATCAGCACCACGCTTACCCATGATTATGAAAGAATGTTATCGAAAATAAGTAGACAGAACATGTCTAAAACTATTCAACGAAACATGTTATATATATATATATATATATATATATATATATATATATATATATTGTGTATTTAGGCAGCATTCCTTCATTTATACATGTTTCATTAAAGACGACAGACAAGGTATTAAGATTAAGCTTTTTATTTAATTTTTTTTGTGTTCGAACAAGTGTTTTCTTTTTTGGACACAGAGTGTCTAGAAACTGTCCAAATGTTACGAGGGCTTTCAGCTATACTTTTAGCCATTATCAAGGATGATTTTATTTTTTCAATTTAATTAGGTGTGTGCGTTGCGCGTATGTTTTATTGTTATAGAGATGTTTTATTTTCCGAACACAGTTAGCACATTGTGGCCGTGTTCGTAGCTAATATTATTAGATGTTGGCATTTTCTATTTTATTATTAAGGCTTCCATTATTTTTAATCTTTTTTACAGTTGGGTGAGGTTATTATGTTTGTATTTTCTACTAAGATGTTTCGGATGGGGTCTGCTGAGTTTCCGTGTGAATTTAAATGGGTTCTAATGGAGCTGTGATCAGATAGGTGTAATGTAAGGCGTCTGGATAAGAATGTAGTTGTGTAGCCGATGTAATTATTTATGAATCCGGTTTGATCAGGAACACAGTTCCTTAAGGAGCATTTGAACTTTTAGATAATGTTCGTTCGTTGTAATTTTGATGTTGCTGGTGTGTTATTATTTTTGAGGATAAGGTTAGCTGTTTTATAGTATATAGGTTTTGTCGTATATAATTAATTTGATTTTTTTATTCATGTCAGTTGGGATAGTGTATTTCTTTATAATATTTCCAAGAGAAGATTCATCTTCTTTGTAGTTAATGTGCATTTGCTTTTTGTAGAAAATATTTATGTAATTTTTGACTCTATATTCACTATCATTGTTATTTACTTTGGGAAGAAATAGTCTCATATATATATATATATATATATATGTGTGTGTGTGTGTGTGTGTGTGTGTGTGTGTGTGTGTGTGTAAATATTCTCATTATCTTGAATATATCTGTTAAAGAGATAAAATGAATGAAAAGACAAAGCTTCAAATTTTAGGGTTTTTTAGTTCTCTACATTATTTTTAATTTAAAGACTTTTCAACATTTCGTCTTCAGTCACTTTCCCACCGCCATGGTGTATCTTTCCTGTCCCTTTTCTATAATATATTTTCATGATAATTGTTCTCTGTGTTACGTAGACGCGGTACTAGATTGGTAGCTGGGTCTCATCAGTTTACAGTGGAAATTCCTAGATGTAACCGTAAGTTCTATGTGATCAGTTTCTTCTTTCGCACTTCTCACTTGTGAGACATTCTTCCGGTTTCTTGCTTTCCCGTCAACTTAAAAAAAAGGCAATGTCAATCGTTATCTGCTGTTTTTTCTTTATTTTTCTTTTGTTTTTCGCTCTTTTTAATAATGTTTTCTTTTTCTCAAGTTCTCGAGCACCTTCCACAGTAAAGTCGTTCACAAGAATTCAGAGCAAAGTAGTACCAAGGATAGAGCCCTAGGCGATACCTGTATTAGTACAAAAGGACCCAGAAGATCATTATTATTATTATTATTATTATTATTATTATTATTATTATTTTAAACAGTCTCAAAAATTGATTGATTCATTTTTTACGGCTTGTCAATATTTGTAGGTTATTTAAATCCATATTTTTTTTTCTTTGAAAGTAATATTTTTTTTCTTTTTGAAGAGGCCATAAAATTAACCCATAGTAGTGCGGAGAGAAGAAGGATATTTGTGCGTGAGTGAATATAACGAATTGGAACACGGCTCTCCGATTAACAATTCCTAGTTATTATCCATTACACCTCCCGCACATCCAGGCTTACAGCACCTGTTATTCACAAACGGTCAACTATCAAGGTACTGACCAGGTTCGACGTTGCTTAACATCGGTGATCGTTCGGGAACTGGTGTCTCAATCTTTCATAATCTGTCTCTGGCCTAATCTGCCTCTGGCCTAATCTGTCCCTGGTCTAATCTATCTCTGGCCTAATCTTTCTCTGCTCTAATCTGTATCTGTCCTAATCCGTCTCTGGTCTAATCTGTATCTGTCCTAATCTGTATCTGTCCTAATCTGTCTATGGTCTAATCAGCCTCTGGCCAAATCTGTATCTGGTGTAAATGTCTCTGGTCCAATCTGTCTCTTGTCTAACTAGTCTCTGGCCGAATCTGTGTCTAGTCTAATCTGTCACTGGCCTAACCTGCCTCTGGCCTAACCTGCCTCTGGCCTAACCTGCCTCTGGTCTAATCTGTCTCTGGTCTAATCTATCTGGATCTAATCTGTGATAAAAATCTGTTTTTTTAATCTGTCTTGCATATGATAAAACTTTCTTTATATATATATATAATATTAAAAAAATTTTATAAATATAGATTAAATATTCTTAGACGACAGAGAGAGATCGAGATAAATATACTTCGCAAATATTGCAAGTATAATGAGCACAATCCTCAGCTAGCCGTAAAGGTCTGAACTGGTGGAACTCAAGAATGGAGCTCATCTGGACATCTGCTGTGGCTGAATCTTATCCAACAGAAATTAAAAAAAAAAATAACTTTGAAATTTCGTTTATAGGATATACTACAAATGACTGTAATCTGGAAATCTTTGAAAAGTTTTGCAAGGACCTAACCACTAGCAAGATGCACTTGGAGAGCGAGCATCCTGTTTTTATTTTAAAAATAAGCGGGAGTTAAAATATAGAAAAAAACCCAAAGAGAGAGGGGGGGAACAGTGTTAAATAATAAAATCGGGCATTCAGTTTTTACGCCTCTGCAAAAAAAAAAAAAAAATCAATAAATCAATGAAAAGATATTAATCCGAAGTTATTTATAAACGCTTCATTGCGTAAATATTGAGCCATACAGAAAATGTTTCTGGTGTGTTTTTGAAGCTGAGCACAAATGAGAAGATATTGTTCACAGGCGATTAAGAATTACTTCCCTTGATGTTCTCCAGTTCAAAATGGCGTCAGAATTTTCTCGGTGGACATGTAATAACAGAATAAAAACAAAAATAAAATAGAAACAGGCGAAAAAAAATTGGAAAATATCACGGATGGATGAATGACTAGGTCAATAAAGATCAAAATGGTTGGTTGAGTGAAGCGTACGCGATTAAGCCAAGGGCGGAAATAGCAGTCAACAGTTTTCATTGAAAAGACAGATTTTTTTTTCCTGATCAGTGACTATATGTCGTTATGAAGTATCCGGAACTATTTTGATCGTCTTCCTTTTTTTCCTCCAATCTATCTATCTATCTATCTATCTATCTATCTATCTATCTATCTATCTATCTATCTATCTATCTATCTATCTATTCTATTCTATTCTATGTCGTTTATCTATCTATTTATCTATTCTATGCCGTTTATTATCTATCTATTTATCTATCTATCTATTCTATGTCGTTTATTTATATATCTATCTATGCCGTTTATCTATATATCTATCTATCTATCTATCTATTCTATTCTGTTCTATTCTATGCCGTTTATTATCTATCTATCCATCTCTATCCCCCCCTCTCTCTCTATATATATATATATATATATATATATATATATATATTATAATCTAAAATTATTTTAACCTGCAATTGATTGATACACAGTAGAAAACAAAGCAGTCAATCATAAAAGATTAGGCCAAAAATACATCTGAAAAGATGTTCAATGAACAAAATCAGTACAATTAAGGTTAATGAAAATAGAATCTAGAATATTTCTTATATGAAATATGTAATGGAATCTACAATGTTCGGAGAATTCTAGTATTCAAGATAAACGAGCTTAATTATTTTGTGTTAAATCTGTTTATTTATTTATTTATTTTGTATCCTTCGAACGTTATAGCAGTAGCTTTGCTATTTAAACAAATTATAAGGCTTTTGTTCTTAATGAAGAATTTAATTTTTGTGACATTTAGACGACTTTTCTTTCTTTTTTTTATTTATTCCCAAAACGCATGCATAGAGGAAATACGAAGAGGACAGACTAAAAAGAAAATACAGAAGTGATTAAACGAAAACTGGGTATGGGTGGTACACATTCTTTTCTTTCCCCACTGAAAGTGTTTGAATTCCCTCCATATATTTACGACTGTCTTTTTGTGCTTGTTCGGCCATCCATTCTTTCGAATTCATCAAGTAGGTTATTCGCTGTCTCCCTCTGCTTTTATTTACCTTCAACATGTCCTCTTCACCCCCCCCCACCATTATGTGTCCCAGTAATTTCAGCTGTCACTTTCTGATTCAAAACAACAGTTTCGTTGTACAACACTTACTTGGTTATCCGTACCTCGATTTTCCGTATTTCGATTATCCGGACGTGAAAGGAACATCGATGACATCTTCCCCTGATTGATACGATTGCCCTACTGTGTGTGTGCGTGTATTTTTTTCTCTCCTTTTCAATATGAGTCTCGTTTTGTTATAATTCGTAATCTTAGCCTTTGAATGCCTTTGAATACAATAAAATAAAACGAAAAAAGGTTATTTGTTTAGGAGAAATTAAATGTTTGTGACTTAGTGCAGAAAAAATTTAACAAAATCGCGATCATGGAGAAATATACTATAAGGAAAACGATGAATGTTTGAAGGATTTTAAACGAATGTAATCCGTCAAATGTTCAAAATACATGAAAACAACACAGGTGACAGGACCCAAAGGAGTGTGAGTTCAATACCCGGTTAAGGCAGTGGAGAATTTTCAGAGGGAAATTAACAGGAGATAACTGATAACTGACACACATTAAACATGCCACGTGGAACTAGAACAGTCTACCCCAATGAACGAAATAAAGGGTTCAGTTCGACATTCCAACCACCTGAAGAAGGCCAGAGTGTACAACGGCCGAAACCTTGTGATAAATATGGCGACAAAGATGAGGACAATAGTCCGAATAATGTAAATAGTGTACATAATACCTTATCTCAGAAATATAGACAGGTATAAAAGAACAAAATTTTTGTGGCTTAGCATATGTGCTAACCCACAAAAATCTCCTGAGCCAACCAAGCATAGAAATGAATACAATATGGGAACCAGTAATAAGGAGTACCAGAAAGAAGCGATAACAACAACAAAAATTGCAATATGAGCACTGGTAAAAAACGGTTGCTGAAGACATTAGGTTTATAATACCCAGAAATTCATACACAAATGTCCTCAAGGACACGTGGCACGGTGAATGAAAACGTTAGTTAGATCCACTAACAGGACCCAAAAGAGTGTGAGTTCAATACCTGGTTAAGGTGATGGAGAACTTGGAGAGGGGAATTAACAGGAGATAATTGACAACTGACATCCATTAAACATGGCACGTGTAACAAGAACAGTCTCCCCCACTGAACGAAATAAAGGGTTCAGTTCGATATTCCAACCACCTGAAGAAGGTCGGAGTGTACAACGGCTGAGACGTTGTAATAAATATGACGATAAAGATGAATAAACGTAAATAATGAAAAGTGGAATGTTTTTACCAGAGCTCATATTGCATTTTTTTTTGTTTGTTATTATCTGGCACTCCTTATTACTGGTTCCCATATTGTATTTATTTCTGTTCTTGGTTGACTTAGGAAATTTTTGTTGTTGTTGTTGTTTTGTACCTGTCTATAATGATTTATACGTCATAGTTTCAACAACAACGAGAGAAAAAAACTTCCAGTAACTGGTCAAAATGTGAAACTCAGTTCACATAAAAAATGAACTGAACAAAATCTTGAACAAATTGTTTTAAAGCGTTATTCGATTTCGATCCTTAAATATAGTCGTAGTCGATAAGTTGGCGCCCGCTCGAATCCGAGCATCGGGATCATCATCCTTTCAACTTATTCCCTTTCTCCCGTCTGGTGGCGGAGATGGTTGTGAAGGCCCAGCCTACCCCTGAAGAATCGCGAGCAGATCCTCTTTATGTAGACGTTTGGACTCTGAACTTTCGATTCACCCCTCGGATGGTCCTACGCCGGGAAGACCGATTTGCAGCAACGGTTTCCCAGGTCTCAGGGTCGGTGTTGGTCTGCGTCAGCGATGTTTTCAACTGATCCTTGAAGCGTTTTTTTTTGGGGGGGGGGTTCTGCGTAGTCTCTTGCCGATGACGAATTCTCCAAACAGGATGATACGTAGGAATCGAGTGGGACGTATTCTGCACACAAGACCCGCCCAGCGGAGACAATAAATATAAATAATAATAACTACGAACACAGACACAATGTGCCGTGTTCGGAAAATAAAACATCTCTATAACTCTAAAAATATACACGCAACCTATACACCCAATTAAAAAGCAAAAATTCTTGATAATGCCTAAAAGTATAGCCGAAAGCGCTCGGAATTACAGAACATTTGGACAGTTTCTAGACAATGTGTCCAGAAAAGGAAACACTTGTTCGAACACAAGAAAAATTAAATAAAAAGCATAAATCGTAGTACCTTGTCTGTCGTCATTAATAAAATAAATATAAATTTCAGTTAATGACTTTTTATATTTGTCAGAAAATGACGTTTTTCCTTAATTCTTCTTTGGTAATTTAGGCATTAAATTATCTTGAATTTGAAATTATCCAAATGTATCTTTTTCATCCACTGTTCCAAGGCATCGGAATAATCGAGGAAGTAGTGTATTACTGTTAGATGGTCTCTTAACATAACATTTCTCTTGCAAAGCCATGTAAATCATAAAGGCTTACCAATAGTAAACCCAATAATGTTTAACATTCATTTCTATATAGAAAAATGTTGCGTAACAATCCAGCAGTCCCTTTATTTTTCTCTCAGAACTTTTTTTACCTACCACGTCTTTACGATGATCTTGCGGAAACCGCTGCTTTCAACAATATATATATATATATATATATATATATATATATATATATATATATATATATTTCGTCTTGGTGTTTGCCTGCAAATGGAAATAT